TTTGTAACTTTCCATAGTCCTATAATGGAACGTTAAGGATTTCTGGTGGCACTGTAAGCCAAATCTATCTGACCTCAGCAATGATGCCCTGTTTTCCACATCCTCTTCTGAATCCAGCCTGAACCTCTGGCAGTGTAATGCTGAAACCATTGTTGGATGATCTTCAGCAAACATCTACTTGCATGTGATAATGATACTGTTCTATAATTTGAGCATCCTTTTGGGTCACCATTCTTTAGAATGGGTGCAAATAAGGATCTCTTCTAGTCAGCTGGCCAAGTAGCTGTTTTCCAAATTTCCTGGCATAGATGAGTGAGTGCTTTCATGATTCATCAGCCTTTTGAAATATTTCAATGAATATTCCGTCAATTTCTGGAGCCTTGTTTTTGGCTAATGCTTTCAGTATAGCTTGGACTTCTTCCTTCAGTACCACTATTAGTTATTGCTTATATGCTACCTCTTGAAATAGTTGAATGTCAACCAGTTCTTTTTGGTTCAATGACTTTTTGGAAGAGCGGGGATTCTTTCCATCCTTTTTTGATGTTTCCTACACCATTCAATATTTTACTCATAGAATCTTTCAATATTACATTCAACTAATGGATGAGATATTAAGGGGAGAAGGAATATTAAGTGAGAGTTCAAAGATCTACAGAGCTAATTCTGGATGTAGCATTCTCTTTGATGTGTGGGATAATTTCATAATCTAATTTTGTGATTTCTGCCCTGAAGGTCGTCTCTCTCCTTTCAAATTGCCATTAGGAATTTAGCCTTTCCATCACTTATTGCTCTGTTTCCTTTCAGAACATTATTTGATAACTGGTTTAAAGACCCTGCCCATGATCATTTAGCTCTTTCATATTAGTATTAGGCTTTTGAAGAAGTTAGCCTCATCATAACATGTAGACCTACAACCTTGGAAATGTAATGAGAGATATAACCCAGAAATATTACACACAATTTCAGGAGCCTCTGGCCTTGGTGAAGCTTCCAATGATCTAGTGGTCTGGAGCATGCTAACGTTCTTTTTTGAGTTTTATACGTCAATTGTGCTAGATTATGGTGCACAGTTGTTTAGTCAAACATTAGTCTACATGTTGATATGAAGCATTTACCCATGATGAACATTTACATCAGTTGACTTGAAGTAAATTATCCTCCATCATGTGGGTGGGCCTCATCCAATCAGCTGACGACCAACAGAAAAAAACTGAGGCTTATTGAGGAAAGGTTCTATCTCCAGACTTTGAATAGACATTATTCCAGAATTTCTACTGCTCCTCTACTGCCTAATGTTGGCACATGAGACTGCTGAAATATTTAGCCAGTACCCATCATGAGTTACAGGTTGTGGATCTGCCAGCCCCCAAATGATGAATCAATTCTTCATTTATTTATATAAGTATCTTACTGGTTTTATTCCCCCTAGAAAACTGTGACTAAGCCATCTTCTTAGATAAAAGACAAGACATTGCATTTGACTCCATCTAACACTAAGAAAAATGTATTTTGCCATCTGAGCCCTTTGGGACTTAAAAAAAATCATTTTATTGGGAGCTTTTGCAGATATGACAGTCCATAGTTTGGTCACATCAGGCAGTATTGTGCACTTGCTGCCAGGGTCAGTTTCAGGGCATTCTCATTCTTCTTGACCTTCTTGATATTAGCTCCCCTTTATCCTCTCCCTCCTCCCCTGCCCCCCTCCAGAATATATATATATATATCTCCAATGTGTATGGTCGCCTGCAGTTCTGTTGTTCACTCCCCTCTAGTGGGGTTGTGCAGTCATTGTTACTGTCAGCTGCCCCCCCATCTTCCCCCCTCCCTCCCGCACTCTCTGTGCTCTCTGGAAATCATAGCTCCCATTACATTTTCTGGGGTGTTATCTATGTTGGCTTGGCCATGCTATTCCAACTCATTTACTGAATATTCCCAAAGGCTCCCTGTTTTGAGTAGGACCGGGAGAAGAGAAAACTCTGTATAAGGTCTAGACTTCCATGTAAGTTACTCCACTACTTGGGCTATGTGACCAAGTGCATCTAACAGTGCTTGAAAGCATCAGAAATTGATAGGAATGGTGTATGGAGACTTTGGCAAACTCCTGCAAATAAATCACACCACAGCTCTTTAAGGATTTGGGAGCAAGGCTTTCTCATTATATTTTTGTCCAAACAGGAACCTCTTTTTAGCTTGAGAAGCCGTTTCTGATTTGCAATGAGCAAACCTGAGAAGCAGCTTCTGATTTGCAATGAGCCAACCATAAGTCATTGGAAGCTTGCACATGAGTTACTCGCGCACCAAGCTGTCTTTATCACACAAAGCCACAACTTTGGGCATGTGCAAGAGCACTCCAGAATAAAATGCAAGAGCACTCCAGAATAAAATGCAAGACTCGGCTCCAGAAGGACCTGAAGGCACGAGGCAGTCATAGGAGTAAGAACTGTGCCATGGCTTCCTCCCTTCAACCTGTATCTGTGGAATGACGGGGACTCCCAGCGATCAACAAATTAAGGAAGCAAAAATTGGAGTTTGGTGTACAAATGATTCTGCAAACTACTTTGGCACCGCAATAAAGTGCAAAGTTGCAGGAATACAATTCTAGCCAGAAATATCCTGGAATGACTGTGATGGAAGAAACAAACCCTTCCTGTGGGAAGAATGCAGACCAGTGCCCGGAAGAAGAAACAGTCATAGGCATGGATTTACTCTGATCTATTTTCAGAACGCAACACTTGACTGAATAGTCAGATAAATGACTGCAGCTGAAACTTGGTAGTAGTCTAATCATCAAGGCAATCTAGGAAAGAAGTCTGTGGATCGACCTTTCTGAAAGGATATAGAGATATGGATACTCTATGTGAATGTTCATCGAAGGGTGACGTCAGCAGAGGAGAATTTCATGACCAAGTGAAAAGATGATATTGTGTCGATTTCACTTAGTATCTCTCCCAAGCTACTGTTGCTTTACCCAAATGCACACAGCTGTGGCCAGGAAAGCCAGGGTAGAGGTTGTGGATTGCCAGGGTGACACCCGGCTGATCTAGCTAACTTGCCAACAGCAGAGATGAAAATTGAGACACTGGTATGGCACTCTTCCCCTTGGACTCTTGCCGGCCTTCTGTTGGCAAGGTGGTTACATTGGAACACTTCCATCATGGTAGACTAGGTGATCAATTTTCACTAGAATTGCTATAACTCCGATGACAACCTTTCCTTCCCTGCTTGTAATGCTTCTGTCAAAAGTAGTATCAGAATATCGTATTAAATATTACAAAATGCCTCACAGCATTACCTCTGGCCAATGAACTTCTTTCACAGCAAATTAAATATGGTAATGGGCTCATGCTCATAAAATTCACAGGCTTCAGCATTTTTATGATTGACATCATGTACTACTGTGGTACATTGGCTATATTTGGTTGCATGATTACTATTAAATCCATAGTTCACGTGTGTTGCAAAAGACCCCATGGTTTTGGCAAATGTACAGTGCGGTGTGTCCACCATTACAGTATCATCCAGCATTATTTCAGTGCCCTCTTCTACCTTTCTACCCTGCTGCCTCTTCCTGAACGGTATCAACCACTGATCTTTCTTTTATCTCTTTAATTTTACCTTTTTGAGAATGTCTTACGGTTGAAACCATATAGTATGTAGCATTTAAAATTCCTCCATGTGGAAGGGATGATATATCCAGGGTGCAGTATAGTACTGATGAAACACATAACTATGCTCTAGTTTTTAAATATTTCCTCCCCTTACTATTACAGTCTTGGTTTTGCCTCATTAATCTTGTTAGACCTCCGTATGTTCATTTATATAATTAAGATTGTTCGATGCAGGAAATCCAGGATAGATCTGTCCTTTAGAGAGAGTGGCGGGAGTGGTGATTCCTTGAGGGTGTGGGAAGGGGTTGGGTTGGGGGGAGCTGATCATTATAATGGCTGTGGCCCCACTCGGGGGGAGCGAATAACAGAGTTGTGGTGGATGGGTGCGTTGGATGTTATAAGGTACGGCAAAATAATAATAATAATAATAATAATAATAATAATAATAATAATACTGGGTCTCTGGGGGGAAGAAGGAGGGGATGGGGGTGCTGGTGTCAGGGGGTTCAGGAGGAGGGAGGATGTTTTGAGGCTGATGGTGGCGGTAATTGTACAGTTATGCTTGGTCTAATTGAATTGTGGATTGTTGTAATACCTGTGGGAGCTCCCAATAAAATGATTTTTTTAAAGAGAGAGTGACCCTTAATATAAAAGAAAAAAACAAGATAAAGATCTTCCGTGCCAAAAGACAACGGACTTTGATGGTTATGGGATTGGCAGGGAGTGAAATGGAAGGAAAGAGAAACAATAGATTAGATCAAGGTTAGATGGAAGAGTTGACCCTGGCCACCATAGTTTAATATAATTTTTGAATTATTTGAAAATTTAAAAATTAAATAATTAAAAATTTATTCAAGAGCCCTAAATATATATTTTTACACACAGATAAAATCACCATTATCTGAATAATATCCTTTGAAATATTTCAATTGTACTTCAGAGCCACATGCATATACTGAAAGGGCTCCTGAGCTGCAGTTTACCAACCCCTGAGCTAGAGGGTGGTCAGATACTAACTTGGGTGAATGTGTGTAAATAACTTCTATTGGGTCTAAACATCAGCACTCATTAAGTAATAATAGGATGGGGTCATCTCAAGTGACTCCACCAGTCAAAATGCATCCAGAGCGATGGCCCTCTTGGGGCCACAACAGGAAATCCATGGCCCGGCGGCCCCTGACATGGTGATAGTGGTGGCTGGTTTGGTTCATTTTCATAAAGTCAATTTTGTTTCTGCAGAATCAGCTGTTACCTTAAGAAGAACATCTATACTCAGCGTCTATCACCATGGAGACAGTCAACAGTAAGGAATCCATGATCCCAGTCCCTCTCCTTAGAGGCCCAAAGTGGACTCTCGGAGTTCTTTTGTCCTCAAAGTTAGCAAGGTGTCTTCTACCACTCAGGAGAGCAGCTGAAAGAAGAAAGGGGTGCCCAAACTCGGCCACACCGTCACAACCCTAGAAACGTGGAAGGGAGCTAAATCAAAGGAACCTGTCATGTTTGCCACAGCGGTGAGCCCCCAGATGCCCTCCACTCCCAGCTGGCACATCGAGCCCAAGTATTCCACCCACGTGCTCACTGGGAACTGGGTGGAAGAAAGAATGAAGGTAAGGGGAGAGGGCCGGGGAGCGAGGCTGCAGAGAGAGATCCAGCAGGGAGGGGCAGGGCTGTTGGTTTCCCCCATGGATTTCAAGCCAAGGGCCCTAGATGACTGTGCACGCATCTTGCGAGCGTGGCTCTAGGTGGTTCTCAACCTTCCTCATGCCCGGACCCTTTAATACAGGTCCTCATGTGGTGGGCACCCCCAACCATAATATTATTTTCATTGTTACTTCATCACTGTCATTTTGCTATTGTTATGAATCAGGCCACCCCTGTGAGAGGGGTCATGACCCACAGGTTGAGAGCCGCTACTCTAGGGTCTCTGGCTCCACTCAAGGGGTCAAGTACAAGCCCATCAGCCGGTGCCTAGACTCTCTTGAACATACCATCGCTGAGGTGTCAAGGATCGGCTCAACGGCAGCGAGTTGCTTTTGTGTTGTGTTGGGGGAGCTATGAAGAGTGAGCCTCAGTGGAGTGTCTGGATGTTCTTTGAGCCCAATTCCTCTGCACCTTGATTTGAAGAACTCCCATTCCCCTGCTCTGGCCCTTCCAGAACATAGCATCCACTGAGGCAGGCTTGGCTCCTCCCAGCCTTGCTGCTCCGGGTGGGCTGCTGCTCTCTGACGTGGGGTCCAAAATCCCGCCTCCCCATGTATTTCAGCTTTTCTTTTCAGAATGGAACAAGTAAGACCCTTGGCATTCCTCTGTGCTTGAAAGTCCAATGAAACAAACGTTTTCTGACCTGACCTACCTCAAGTTAAGCATCCTCACCGTGGCCTGTAGGATTGAGCCACACCTGGGTGGCCTCTTGTGTTCCCGGGAGGTGGTTAGGAAAAGACGGTGCCCGAGACTGGGTGTGGAAGTCTGGAAACACAACAGGCTCTTGTGTGGCACCATCAGCATTGACCCTTCCTCTGGTCAGGTCTGGGCTGTGGGTACTGTTCTCCCTCACCACACCTGTTGGAAGGTTGTGTAAGAAAGACAAAGGGGGAAGGATTCTGAGCAGTTCCTGCAGGCTCCTGGGGGAGACCCAGACTCCCGGGGTAACACGAGCTGGTCTCCTACACGTGTGTGCGGAGTGAAACTGGGAGACGGGCAGGATAAGGGGGTGGTAGAGAGAAGACGAGGAAGCAAACGGATGCCAACAATGAGATGTGGTAAAATGGTGCCAGTCCTGGCTCATCTGAGAAGTCCTGAGGGCAGAGTTCAGAGCATCTGAGAGAGGTTCTCTGGACTATCTGGTCTTTTCCAGTTCTCTAGAGCCACGGAGAAAACTCCCCAGAGCATTTACAGAAAGGAGTATGTCCCCTTTCCAGACCACAGACCGAATGTAATCTCCAGGTGGTACCCGAAAAGGAAAATCGAGGTAAGAGGGAGCAGTGGCCCTGAATTCCATTGGCCTCACCTAACCCACAGGATACCTGCCCACTTTTCACAGGCTCCATCTCTTAGGGCAACAGGACTCGCCCCCACCCCCACCCCCCACACCTTCTCCAGCTCAGGGGCTGCCTGTAGGATTCACCTTTCCTCATTCCTGTGATTGGTGATCCATCTGTGTTGTTATTGTTGTTGGCTGCCATTACATGACCACCTACTCTTGGCAACCCCATGCATAATGGCACAAAATGCCCCCTTATTCTGTACCATCTTCCTGGTAGGTCACAGATCAGGTTTCTATGCTTCATAGGGTTTTCGTGGGCTGATGTGTCTCCCAAACCAAGAGAAGGGATTAGAGAGTCCCTAAAGGTCTCACCTCTCTCCCCACTGAGCCCTAGGCTGAACCACTGTGCCTCCTCAGCCTTGCCCCTCGTTGGTGGGAAACCTTCCAGCTCACTGTCCCTGGCACTGCCAAGATCCTAAGGGCCACCTGGTGATATACAACTTTGGAACCCCTGTTCCAGTGTCTGCGCCCACCCCTCTGTCTCCCTCAGGCATTGTGATCTGACTGATTTATGGAACTGCCGCTTGAAATACGGGGCCCAGCTGACATCCCCTGCTCTGGACAAGGGGACAGCATGGAAATCAGCATCAGCCTCCCTTGTAAATCAGCCTGGTTCCCCAGGACCCCCTTCCAGGGCCGAAGGATTTTCTTAAGTCACTGATTCAGGCCAACGTCCCAGAGCAAGGCAGCCCCTGGCTTTCTTCTCCCTGGAAATAAGTCCCCACCAAAGAAATTCCTCCCCCAGTTAGTTCCCAGCTGAAGGAGCCGTAAATCCATCGCTGGAAAAGACAATTCATGGGGCGCTCTCTGATTCCTCCCATAGTAACCGACAGAGATGTAAGGTGTACGTGCCAGGCCTAGCATTCAATGTCTTTCTCTCCCCTTGGAAGCCTGCTCTTAGATGGGATGAGAATTGGGGCAAATCAAAGGGCATTATTCCAGATCACAGGGGCCCCCGAGGAGCCATGGCACTGACTCCCCATCAGGCGGGGTGTTCTAATTTCCCTTTCAATGTGTCGCCAGACCTCTTGTCGTTTGGTGCCATCGAGTCGGGTCCAGCTCACAGCGACTCATGCACAACAGCATGAAAGGCTACCGGTCCTGGGCCCTCCTCCCACTATTCTTAGGTTTGAGGCTCTTGTTCCAGCCGCTGGTCGGTCCATCTTGTCGAGCATGTTCTTTTTTGCTATCTCTCTACTCACCACGATGTCCTGCTTCAGGGCCTGCTTCCTCCTGACAATAGGTCCCAAATATGTAAGAGGAAAGCTTGCCATCCTTGCCTCTAAGGAGGCAAGAATCCTGCACATATTTCTTCTAAATCAGAGCTCTTGGGAGGGATGGACCCAGCATTACGAGAGGGATCTTACAGAAAACTACTGGGACACGAATTCTTGCCGGAGTGGGATGAGCAAGTGTGCCCCCATCGATAGGCCCAAGAACTCAGGGAGCCACTCTGCCCAGCACCACCACATACCACCCCTCCCCTCCCTACCCCTACCCCGTTCCCCCCACCGTCTAGCACTGCCAGCAGCTTCCACTGCTAGTGGGCTTCCTTGCTTTGATCAGTGATGTACCCAATGTGTCTGTTCTTCCAGGGTCTCCCATACAAACACTTGATCACGCACCACCAGGAGCCAATGGACCACTATCTTATCAGCACCTACGACGACCATTACAACAGGCATAACTATAACCCTAGTCTGTCCCCACAGCGCACCTGGAATCGACAAAAGTTGCTGTGGCTACCAGAGAAGACAGACCTTCCCCTTCTGGGTACGTTTTTGATCAGTCTTTTCTCCTGTGATGGACTATGCAGGGCCCAGGATGCTCAGGGCTGGAGGACCAGAGATGGACCCCCTTGGGCCAACTCCTTCTTGACCACGCATGGGTGGCCCTGGGCTCTGAGAGAGTACTGGAACGGGATTCCAGGGGAAGAAATCCTGTTTCCTGCAGGTCTTCCCCCTTCTCTTTCCCCACACCACCAGGGACTCACGTGGTGGCCTAAGGTGCCAGCTGCAGCCCGTTTACCTGGTGTTCAGGCGGTAGAAAACCACAGCACGGCACACCCCAGAACCATCCATCCCACAAATGCCAATGCAGCACAGTTTTCAGTGCAGCTTCCTGACAAAGACAGATTCAAGAGAAAAGTCTAGCGACATAGTTCTGAAAAGCAGCCAGTGACAACCTAGGGAGCCCCAGTCTGATCTGCAACCAAGTACAGCGATGCTGCATGGCAGGAAGGAGCCCTGGCGGCACCATGGCTATGCATGGGGCTGCTAATAATGGGCAGTTTGAAACCATCAACTGCTCCGAAAGAAAGAGATAAGGCTGCCTGCTCCCCTAACGTCTTACAGTCTTGGAAACTCACAGGAGCAGTTCTGCCCTGTTCTATAGGGTCACGTTGAGTCAGAATTGAGTATTGATGGCAGTCAGGGTCTTTATGGTTTATAGGACAGAGTTCAACGGCCCCCATTGGGTTTCCTGGGCTATGGTCTTTATGGGAGCCAATTGCCAGCTCTTTCTTCCACTGAATGGCTAGGTGGGTTTGAACCACCAACCTTTGGATTAGCAGCTGAGCACTTAACCACTGCACTGCCAGGGCACAAATGAGAACAGAATGATTCTCATGTGCCCCACCTTGCTGTTAGGACCAGAGACACAACACAACACATGGTGAGGAATCACAGTCCTCCTATGAAGAGACCACTAATGCATAAGAGCACGTATGATCCAATAACCCAGGAGATCTAGGGTAGGGGTCTGCTTTATGCGGAGAACAGGAGAGTGGGTAGGAAGGGAGGCAGGGTCTCTGTGTCCCTCCTTTTTGTGGTATGTTACGGGGAGGCCTTAGCTGACTGAGACTCACTAAAGAGGAAGAGGAAACCACGCAGAGATTGTGGGGAGACTATTCTGTGAGCGAGAGCAAGCACAGAGGCAGGACTGGGCAGGATCAGGCTGGGGCTCACCAGCCCTAAGAAGGGGCGTGGGGCTGTGTGGCACACCAGGTGTGTGAGGCTATGGAGGGATTCATGAAAGAGGGGGCCTTGATACGTTTTACATTCCAGCTACCCCCACCATGCCAGGGACAGAGCAATGCCATGTTTTGGCATCTTTTGATGCAAAGGGATATGCAAAGGGCCAGGAAGTGAGCTGATTGTCACTTTGATGCCTTTGCAAGGCCTTCTCATCAGCATCCTGATCATAAGCCAACCCTGATCCTGTTCCTAGTGTGGTGAGCTCATTCCACAAGAGCCATCCCCAAGCCAGGTTACCAGACTGGCTTTCTGAGCCCTCCATAGCAGCACTTTGGTTCTTCCCCAGGGTCTTGTGGGGCTGGATGTTCCAGGACTCTCCAGGAAGAGCCATTTGGGACCCTGATACGACAACCTGGGTGTGTTAGTCTGGGTACTTTAGAGAAACAAATCCACCGAAACTCATGTATAAGAGAGTTTTATATAAAGGGTAAGTGCTCGTCAAGAAAACGTCCCACCAGTGGTGTGAGTGGCAAAACAGGGAGGGTAGAGGGAGAGTGGGTAGGAAAGAGGGAACCGGTTACAAGGAACTGTATGTGACCTCCTCCCTAGGGGACAGACAACAGAAAAGTGGGTGAAGGGAGACATCCGACAGGGCAAGATATGACAAAATAATTTATAAACTATC